GCAACATGATCCCCCCACCCAGACCTACATGGAGATCATAACAATCGCTTTGTACACGCCATAACGCCCGGAAATATGCAACTGAGCCCGAAAGGAGAGGTTTCCAAGAGAAAGAAGTAGAAAGATGCAACACGCTCAGTTTGCGGATCGGCTAGTCAAATCGCACCGGAGGTAGGGTCGGTGCTCCGCTGTTACTTCGCGCTCCACTGCTGTCGGAGTCAGACGGCGGAGAAGTCTCGCGCATGCGGCTGCCGGCTGTTCTTCCCGCACTGCCATCAAGCACAAAGGGGCCAGCATCGTTCCTGGGGGTCATGGGACCATCCTGTACGCGATCAGGGCTTAGGCCATTGCTGCCGGCAGGATACAGAGGCGATAGTCCCACGTACTCATTCGCACCGTTGACGTTGATGGACACTGGCTGTGTGACTGACGATGTTGGTGGCGTGAGGCGGCGATCGGGCGTTTCTAGTACAGTCTGGTTTTCGATGTTTGTGATCTGATGGTGTAGATCCGTCAGATCAACACCACCGTCTGAATCTGTGCCATTGATCTGGGCGACAGAGGCACGGGGAGTGACGTGACGGTCGCTTTGCTCCGCGCTGGCATGAGGAGCCGTGTCACCGTTGACCACCTCCTCGTCACCCTCCCAATCCTCGAACTCGCCCATATCTTCTACATCCTCTTCGAGATCTGCGACCGCCCTGCAGTTTGGGCAGAGGAAGTTGGGCCATGTAGGTCCATTGAGAATAGGACGGATACACTTGTAGTGCCAGACGTGGGAGCAGGGTGCTACAAACAGGGACTGACATGGCTGTGCACTGATTAGTACGGTTAGGTCTCGATACTATGGGAGTACGTACGGCTATGGACATCAAACAAATCGCACATTCAGACGTATGTGTCGAAGCATTATCTCCCGTGACCTCCTTCTTGTTCTTGGCAAGTGCGCGTAGTCGTTGATGGGTTTGTTTGCTGTGCGGGTTAGTGGTCGGCTTCCAGCGCAGACAACTCAACTTACTTGAAGGTGTTTAGTCCCTGCTGCCAGCCGCGGTTGCACTCGACGCGAATCTTGACACATCTGAAGATCATCTCCTCGCCGCCGCGGAAATCGATGCCCAACTGGATGATGTCGCCATCCTTTATGCGGAAGGGCTTTGACTCGACGTTTGGCTGACTTAGACGGATGTGGTTCAGGAAGGTGCCTGAGGAGCTCTTTACGTCTTTGATATACCAGCTGCCGTCCTTGCACCACAGCTCGCAGTGCTTCCTACTGACCACCTTGGACTTGAAGCCGATGGCTGCAGCCGACGGGGCATTGGTCTGGACTTCAGGAAGGTTGTCGCGCTCCGAGTATCTTCCTACGCGCAGAATCGCGCTCTCGTCGGGCAGGGTGCGGTTGATGGTGGGGAATATGAGCGAAGGTCTGCCGGCTCGGGGGTCCTGATGCGGGATGAAACGAATCGAGGGGAGGTGCTTGACGGCGCCCGCACTCTCGGGAGCGCCTTCCATGGGCTGCGCGTTGGCAGGTCCTGGTGTTGAGGTGGGCGTGGGTCCGGTGTTGTTGCGCACTTGCAGTTGGGGCTGAGCCGTCTCGGAACGGGTTCTCGTCATAGTGGGTTTGGGGGTAGTGGGCGGGGAGTCGGTCGAGGGAGGCTGGGGGTGACTATCGGCCGTGTGGCTCCTCGACAGTGAATCTGGACGGGCGGCCGTGTGTTGGTGGGACGACGAGGCAAAGGCGGGCGAGGCAGGTGGCGTGTGTGTTGAGGCGCGTGGCCGTGTCCCGGTTCGGGAGTCCTCACGTGAAGCGTCGGCTTGGCTGCCGGAGTGCAGGTGCAGGTTTCGGAGGAAGCTGATACCTCTGTGGACGCCCGTGGGTCGCTGCGAGGGCGAATTGGGGACGGCAGTCGCAACTGTAGGGAGGGCTGGGGTTGTTGTTGTGGTGAACATCACCCCCGTCAGCGGCGCAGAGCGAGGATTAAGGCCTGAAGCTGGCGTGGGCGGGAATGTGAATGCGCGAGTTTCGACAGCGTTTGACAGACGACGCAGTTTGCCCGTTTACAAGAGCACGCATGGGTGGGAGAGTCCGAGACACTGCGGCACTGGGGCAAATGATGAATGCAAATGCACACTGGCAATGGTGCGCGAACAAGGCCAGGGCGGCCTGGACGGGCCAAGCAAACCAGAAGAGGAGCAGGCCGCCTCTAGACTGGCGATGCGGGACTACCAAGAAGACGGACCTCTAGCATGTACTGGTAACAGGGTTCCAGAGTCGACATGATGAAGTCAGCTCTTGTCGGCCGTCGCTACCAGATGCACTGCTGAACGTCACGCGGGACGGTAACAGCTGCCAGGCCCATGCCCATGTCCAGGTCCATGACAAGATGGCAGATGGCGTCTGAAACCCCTCCGCCCTCGTGCTCCATGTGTCTGCATCACGGCGGCGCTTGTCCGACTAAATATAGTTCCCCGCGGATATATCAGAGCATCCAAACCGACATGGCCATGTAAGATAGAGTTCATGCGCTGATCGCAGCGTTGCGGTGTGGGGCCGCCTTCATGGTGTAAGGGATCCGCTGCACTGGGTCTCCGCGCACGTGACATCATGTCATCCGAAGATGGGGAATTTTTCGGAACGCGCGACGGGTGCTGCCCTCACCCACGCCAGAAATGTTAAGACCGCACACGTACCGACCGCTATCCCGGGGACTGTCCAAGACTTCGGCGTCGCTCACACGGTCAGCACCATGCGCAGGCAGACGGAGCCTGGCCACGGCCGTCGCTGAAGAGAGGGTTAGCACTGAGTTCACGTAGCAAGCCGAAGTCATTCTAAACTGCTGTCCAGGACCCCGCCGAACTCGACCAGATCACCACCCTCCCCAATGGCATCCGCGTCGCAACCGAAGCCCTGCCGGGCCACTTCTCGGGTATCGGAGTCTACGTCGACGCCGGCTCGCGGTACGAGAACGATGCACTGCGCGGAGTCAGCCATATCATCGACCGGCTGGCCTTCAAGTCCACACGCTCCACCTCCGGCGACCAGATGATGGAGAAGGTAGAGACACTGGGCGGCAACATACAATGCGCGTCTAGCCGAGAGTCGGTCATGTACCAGTCTGCCACTTTCAACTCTGCCGTTCCCTCCACCGTCGGTGTCCTTGCCGAGACGATCCGGGATCCAATGGTGACGGAAGACGAGGTACAGCAACAGCTCGAGACGGCCGATTACGAGATTGGAGAGATCTGGAGCAAGCCAGAGCTGATCTTGCCGGAGCTGGTACACATGGCAGCCTTCAAGGACAACACTCTGGGCAACCCTCTGTTGTGTCCCAAGGAGCGCCTGCCCTTCATCAACCGCGCCGTTGTCGAGGCATACCGCAAAGAGTTCTTTAAGCCCGACCGGATAGTCGTTGCCTTTGCCGGTGTCAACCACAACGAAGCTGTCCGCCTGACAGAAGAGTACTTTGGCGACATGGAGAAGGGCACCGGCCCATCGCTCATCGGTCTCGACTCTAACAGTTCGGCATCTAACAGCGCACCGCAGCAGCAAATGTTCACGGCCGACCACCCTACACCCACCGGGGCACCGCCGCAGACCTCGAAACTCCTCTCAAAGATACCCTTCTTCAAGAATCTCTCCACATCAGCCACCTCCAACGCTTCCGTCAACACATCACTCGACCTTAACTTCCCGCCGATAGATACATCGATACCCTCACAGTATACTGGTGGCTTCCTCACACTACCACCAATCCCACCACCAGCAAACCCCATGCTCCCCCGCCTGTCGCACATCCACCTCGCCTTCGAAGCCCTCCCCATCTCCTCGCCCGACATCTACGCCCTCGCGACCCTACAAACATTGCTCGGCGGTGGTGGCTCCTTCAGTGCAGGTGGCCCAGGAAAGGGAATGTACTCGCGTCTCTACACCAACGTACTGAACCAGCACGGATGGGTAGAATCCTGCGTGGCCTTCAACCACAGCTACACCGATAGCGGCCTCTTCGGCATCGCATCATCATGTGCCCCCTCGCACGTCACCCAAATGCTCGAAGTCATGTGCCGCGAACTCAAATCGCTCGGGGACGAAACCGGCTATGCCGCCCTCAACGACGTCGAAGTCCAACGCGCAAAGAACCAACTCCGATCCTCACTCCTCATGAACCTCGAAAGCAGAATGGTGGAACTAGAAGACCTGGGCAGGCAAGTCCAAGTTCACGGCCGCAAAGTGGGCGTCAAGGAGATGTGCAAGAAGATTGAGGACGTTACGGTCAAGGACCTGAGGAGAGTAGCACGCCATGTATTCGGTGGTCAGGTCAAGAACATTGGAGGCGGATCTGGAGCACCGACCGTTGTCCTGCAAGAGGGTGAGCAGGAGGGGCTCAAGAGGAAAGAGTTCACCTGGGATGACATACAGACGAGGATCGCTAGGTGGAAGCTTGGCCGTAAATAGAGAACTATGAGCTTGATGAGGCTTGGCTGGGGATGGAATTGTAAACGCTGTACTTGTATGATAGGAGTGGGACGAAAAGATGAATATCATGATTACCCCGTGAGCCTTGCATAAGAAACGTGGGACTTCTTTCGCTTTCAACTTACATTAGACTGACAGCAATCTCAACCACGTGAGTTGAGGCACCTCGTACAAGGAAAAGGCGAGACAGGTCTGAAGACTACACCAGGATAAAACAAGCACATTGGAAATGCCTAGCGTCAACGTAAGCTCTAGGATGTTCGTAATTTTCGTTGATTGAAATGTAGCAGAGTTTTAGATTACGGATAATGATACTACTCTAGTCATCATCCGAGCAAGAAGAGGTGATCGAAGGAGACGTGTGAGCAAGCCTCCTCCTCCGTTCGCCTCCCTCCCTTATTAACAGCCGTATTCTCATTTGAACCATGATCTTTCTCCGTTGTCATGAAATCATCAAACCGTATCTCCTGATCCGCTTTTCTACTCGCCGCCCGTATGTCATCCCCAAGAATTCAGACTACAGTCCTCTTCACACCTGTGTCATGATGCTTTGTAATCCAATATCCGTGTCCTCTTCGATCTCAGTAGTCGCGACCTCTGCGGTCTTGATCACCGCGTCCAGCTTATGGATAGCGGAAATATTAAGGGCAACAAGATCGGGTGTGTGCGTCTCAGCTGCTTCCTCGGTAATGGCCACACCTTCCACTGCGACTTCCCCTTCCTCTTCAGTTGTGAACGAGTATACCGAGAACTCAGAGTCGGTGCTACCATTGTTTCCCGATGCCACGTCACTGGGCGCCGTGGCATGTGCGGTCACATTTTCGAAGCCACCCGTGTACGTTCCGTTCTTGACCTCATTGCGCTCTTTCTGCTTCCGAACGCGACGTAAAGCTCCGAGATCAAATTCGCCTACAGGCGGAGAACCGGTGTTATCGCGAACTGTGCCAGTCCGTGGGAGCGGAAGAGTAATGTTAGAGCCTTCGGAGCTGGATTCTCGGTTTGGGCGGAAGATACCCTGGACGGCGGATTTGAGACCTTGAGGTGTGAGGAGACTGGATCCGCGAGAAAGGGAGCGGGCAATATCCACGGACGATCGACGACCCATCTTGTAGAACCGTCGGCGGGGGCGGCGCTGAGCCGAGATCTCATCCATGTCAGTCTGCGTTGTCTTGAACGTTGCTTCGCTTGAATCGGTTGTGTTGGAAGAGGCGGTAAGTGGTGAGCCTGCAGATGTAGCGAAAGAATTGGAGTTGGGCAATGTTGATGGGGAGGTGCCTAGAGTCGTGGAGGACGGTAATGGCTGCGCTCGAATGCCGATGGTGCGCATGATGTGTGCTGATTTTATCGGGAGCTCCTCCATGTCTTCGCGTGTCATGGGCGGGAACTCTGCGTTGAGTACCGCTTGGAAGGGAATGTACATTCGTTCTCGATAGTACGGGCGACAGGTGTGGCAGGCTCTTACGTTGCATCCCATGGGCTTCTGTGACTGGTTAGTAGTCTGTTTGCTGACTTCATAATATCAAAAACCACTCACTGCGTTCATGTCAGGCATACTGTTGAAGGCCCCATCGGTGCTATATGGCGCCTTGGCCATGGCAGCGGTGAGTCTAGAGACGACATCGCTGGCTTGAGCGGCTTGTTGCGTGTCCAAGATGACCTGCTGGAGCTCAAGCTTCAGGCCCTTGAGCTTGTTCAGTTGCTTGTCGGTGTAATGTCCGCTCTCCGCTGTGATGATAATACTCTCGCCTAACCCAATCTTTTCCAACTCTTGGCGCAACGCAGACTTCACTGGCTCGATGCTGTCCTGATCCCTAGCTAGTAGAGCGCGGAGAAGACGAGGTTCGCAGTCCTGTCTGCACTCGTACAGGAACCCGATGGATGGCGAGCGCCCGCAGACGCCGCAGTGCTGCTCCTGACCGAAAACGCGGTCCATGTCCAGGTGGGTACAGTTGGGGACTCGTAGACGTTTCCCCATGGCTGGTAAAACCCGTGAGACGGATACCGTGTGGTCGTAGGTTCGCAATCGCTGACGATCGGTTGTATGTAGACCTCAAGTCGTCGGGAGGGGACACACGCGACAATTGACCCACAGGAAGGAGGACTAAAGGTGGGCGGACGGAAGAGCGTGGCAGTTGAAGTTGCTGTTCCGAGACAATGACAGGGCAGGTGCACTCACGCTAGACTGCGAGGAGTGAGTGAAGGCGTGGACCCTAAGACAGCAGCGGCGTGGCAAGAGCGACCTCGGAAAGTCGTCTCCAATCAACTCGTAATTTTTTGAGCAAGACTGACGGAAGTGGGCAGTCGAAGCCAATTAAATCTTTTGGAAACGACCGTTCATACGAGCTGTCACCCGCTGGCCATGCTCCACTCGGCGGCTTTGCACGTTGCGGCTTTGGCCTGGCCTCGTGAGTACCCGGTTTTACCAATGTTGAAGCCCTCTGACGGTCTTTGCACGTGCCTTGACTGTTTGTTGTTGTTGTTATCTCGCAATACAAACGACGAAATGAAATGAACGAAAGCGCTTTGACGACGCTTTGGAGCAGGACAAAGAAAAGAAAGCCACGGTGAGCGAAGAAGGCCATGCGGGGCGAGATGAGGCCAGGTGGAATTTCAGGACGTGATGCCATGTGAGGGGTAGGAAATGAGAGGCGATGGCGTTTACGAAGAAGTTTGGGGTCGTACAAACAATGTGTCTAATTCAACATTGTGGCACCTCGACGCATGTCATCTTAACGTGTAGATGATAACTCACGGCTACGTCTAGGTCATTGAGAGTCGGTTTGATAACTTATCCCAGCGGTGCACATTCCATAAGAAGATTGCTCACACGAGGGATGGTGATGATGTCGTCGGCTTTTGAAGGGACCAGGATCAGTCAGCGATAAGAGCTCAGGGAAATCACTTCACGATCGACAACGACAGCGTAAGGGTCCCCTATCGCGATGAACCCTGCGCATGACTGTACTCGCCATCGCCCACGTAAATCACGATTGTCGCTGGGTGCAGAGCCTGTAATGAGCCGTGGGAGCGACTCTCGAGCCTGCTCGGTGCAAACAAGTGCTGGCGGCGGCTTCCGACGCGCTGCCATCCGCCAAAAGCATCAGGCGAACGCGCCCTCGGCATGCCGTGTAGCTCAGCTTCATCAGCTTTCCTGCAGAGAGTATGCAGATATCGCAGGCTGGAACTGAGGAAGTTGGCTGAGCACTATCATCCTCACCCATAGCCGAAACCGAGGTCGTGTTGTTGTGCCAGACCACGCGCTTCCGCATCTTGGGCTCGGCGCTAGCAGCACGGAGCACCCAAGTCGTCCGAGGTGTTTACACTTCATCCCCAGCCATCCCGACGCCCGGCCAGCTCGTCAACCCTCCCCCACAAAACACCTCGTCGACCGCAGCCCCATCTCCCACACGCGCCCATCCGCTGTCTGCTGCTGTCGCATCGCATTGAGGCGCCATGTCGGTCAAATTCGAGAAGGAGACGACGACCAAGGCGACGGCCGCCGTTGCCGACGCTGCCAGCAAAGTCAAGGATGGCGACCTCATGCACGAGCTCGGCCAGGCCCTCACCAAAGGCGGCGGTCCCAATGGATATCTCGCTGTGAGTCTTGTGCGACAAAACATGTGACGAGCCCTTCACTGACGGCACGCGCGCCAGGCCTACCTGAAGCAGCTGCAGAGCAACCCATTGCGCACCAAGATGCTGACATCGGGCACCCTCTCTGGGCTCCAAGAGTTCCTCGCATCGTGGATCGCCCATGACAGGAGCAAGTCGGGCCACTACTTCACCTCGCGTGTTCCCAAGATGGCCATCTACGGTGCCTTGATCAGCGCGCCCCTTGGACACGTCCTGATTAGCGCTCTCCAGAAGGTCTTCCAGGGGCGCAAGAGCTTGAAGGCCAAGGTCCTGCAGATTCTCTTCAGCAACTTGATCGTGAGTCCTGACCCGAAAGGCCGTCAATCGTCAGCACGTCGCTAACAGTCGCAGATCTCGCCCATCCAGAATAGCGTCTACCTCGTCTCCATGGCCCTTATCGCGGGCGCTCGCACCTTCCACCAAGTCAAGGCGACCGTCAGGGCCGGTTTCTGGCCTGTCATGAAGGTCAGCTGGATCGTCTCGCCCATCTCGCTGGCATTCGCCCAGCAGTTCCTGCCCGAGACCACCTGGGTGCCTTTCTTCAACATTGTCGGTTTCATCATCGGCACCTACATCAATGCGCACACCAAGAAGAAGAGGTTAGCCGCTCTCAGGCGAAAGCACTACGGCGACGGCAGCGGAAGGAATGTGGGTCCTAGTTCGCGCCCTGGCTCGCGCCCTGGATCGCGTCCTGGCTCCGTCAGCGGAAGGCCCGTCGACGAGTACGGTCGTCCCGACGACCGCCCACGCTACTAAATGTCAGGGCTGGTAATGACAGCGCGATAGTCCGGATTCCTGTTCGCTGTTATATACCGATCAGCCGTGGCAACCCCAGCGGCTAAGAATGAGGCATCACCCGTCTTTGTTCATGTGTTACGACAAACTCGGGGAACGATATTCGGCTACCAGTCAGGCGCTTCACCATCTAGTGCGCTTTCATTTTCGCTCCCCTTTACGTGCTCTGTATATCCCATCTGTTTTCCTGCTCGATCATTGGAGCCGCGACTGGCGTTCGTTGCGCTCTTCGCTAAATAAATACTACTATTTACACCTAGCCTTCGACCCGTGTCACCTCCATCATGTTGTCCTCGCATCTAATCCCCACAAGGCATGTCTCCGTTAGTACTGACACTTGTTAGGCTGAGTGAGAAGCGGCGCCGAAAGCCGCCCACCTACCAGCGCCAGCACATCCGTTCCAGCAGCCAGTGTTTTGCAACCTTGCGTTACGTTCGCCTATACGGTACCACGCGACCTTGGCCCATGGGCATGGCGCGCAGCTGTTAGATCAAAGAAAACCTTCGGGTTTTCAGTATCGACCCAATGGTATACCACTTGGCCCGTAGCTCAACGAATCCCGACCCAGATTTTTGGCTTACCCATGACAAACAATACGTGATGGCGTTTGCATCACGTTCGCATCAACCATGATTCGTGGTCCATGCTGACTCTCCGAACGGAGAAGCTGCCGCCAACGACTACGTCGCGCCGGCTGGAAGCAGCCATCATCCGCTTCGGCCTCCCACTCGACCCAACTATAAAACAGCAATGGAACTACCCTCCCGCAGAGGTTCGATCAATTCTTGATCCTTTTGACCTTTTGCTAAGACTCTCGAACCTTCACATCACTCTCACTACTCAATGACGCTCGGTTCTCCCGATCAATATGCGTTGTTGCCGTATGGTGATCATTTCTTTGGCGGAGCAGCGCTTGCTCGATCAAAGTCCTACCCCTCTGATTCAGAATCAGATTTCTACATCCCTTTCGAGCCTAATGATTATCGTCCACCGCTATCGAACGTCGCTATCCGACTTCAAGATCCCTTCCTAAGGTGCGACAGGAATCTTGGGTGGAACATTGATTGGGCAGTTGCATTCATCGTTGATCGACTGGAACAGAATTGGGCTGACGCAGCCGAGAAATTAAAGAACGTACGGATACGGGCTGCGACACTTGAAAGGGACGGGCTAGTCCAGGAGATCCCATATCGTATCTTCAACAAGCTCGATGAAGTACTCTTTGCCGGTCATCTGAAAAATGCAGTCTTCCTCGATTTTGACACCCTGGGTACCGACGTCTCAGGCGCCACCTACACGCACAGACTAGGACAAAATCCTGAGGTCAAGCGTATCTCTATCGTCTTGAATCTGGACGCGCTCGAATGCGCCAAGGCGAAAGACATCGTCGCTGTTCTGATCCATCACATGATACACGCATACCTTCTGGTCGCTTGCGGCTCACAGAAAGAAGACGAGGTGGACTATGGACGCTTGGATCATGGCGTGCAGTTTGGTAAGATCATGTTTACCATTAAGAAGCTCTCAGCTGTGCACGGGAGAGAGTTGTCGCCTCTCAACTATGGGCATGGCTCTTCCAACGTTCGCTACATTGCCGAGGAATACTACAGTCCAAGAAGGAGAGAAGTAGTTGAGCGTGCGGACCGGGAGCGATGGTATTGCAGCCACTGCCATAGCATCGTGCAGGGGCCATCCGAGAGCGAAGTGCAGAAGTGGTACGGGAAGGTTTGCAAGCCGCTTTTCGACCAGACCAAGTGCGTCCGCGAGCCGGAAGTCCAAACGTACAACGAGCGGCGTCATGAGCTCGAGACGAAACACCGCGCACGTCTTAGACCTTCTGCAAAGTCGGTCGAGTTCATGTACAAAGACAAGCCCGTCCTCGTTGATGGAGATAAGATTGAAGAGTTTCTGAGCGTGGTGAGGGCATTCGAAAAGGCGGGTAGCCGCTTTCTGAAGGTACACAAGGAAGTTTCTGAAGACACCTTCGTCCGCTTCCTGGAGTTTCTGCACACTGGCTCCTACCGGCCTGACCCACGCCCATTCGCCGCCGCAGCAGCCGGTCTTGGTATCGAACGTCGAGGGCCACCCATCATCAAACCCCAAGCAACGACCAGTGAAGCCTGCGTTCTAACTGACGTAAAGTTTGCCAAGCTCGGCACATTGATGGGCTTCGAAGACTGTAAAAGTTATGCTCTCGATCGGATGAACGCCTATGGCATCCTCAACGAAGACCCCGTAGCCGTCCTCAACGAAATCTATACAGGTTACGAGCCGGACTCTGATCTGAAGGACTGGGCGCGAAAGTTCCTCGTCCGAGCGCCAAATACTCCGAACCCAGAGTACCACACTACGTCGATCAGCCTCACCACCATTGAACCGCCCAATCTTATCAAGCTTGAGAGTCAGCAGAGCTCCCATCGTATGCGCTTTCTCGATGCGATCGAATCCAGTGGAGCACTGGAGAACGACGTCAACAAAGCTCGTGCCGAACTCAAAGCTGCCGGTTGGTACAGCTGGTCTACATTCCTACCGCATGAACCACCCAGGCTGCTCACCGAGCGCTCCATGAGCTACTCCGCCCACCCACTGGCCCTTGGTCGACGCTCCCCTCTTCTCCTCGGCCGCGCATCCACACCAGACCCCTGGCGCAGCGTCCACGACCTCACCGACCGACTCTCATCCCTAGACATCGACCGTCTGCGTGATTTGGAGCGCGAGAAGGAGCGCGACCGTGAGCGAGTGGAGAAGTTGAGAGACTATGAACGGGCCAAGTACAGTGACATAGAGCATGAGAAACTCAGGAAGCTGCGTCGAGAGAAGGAGCGTGAATTGGAGAGGGAGAAGGAAAAAGTGAGGAGGTTGGAACGGGAGAAGGAGAAGGTCAAGGAGACGCATGCGCAGTTGCAGGCTACGGCGGCGATTGAAGCGCTTTTTGGGAGGAGTAGGCATGGGGGGTTCGTTGGGGATTATGATTAAATTGTGGAGTTTTAACGAGGCAGGTGTAGGTGGCCTGCGGTTTTGCAAAGAGGGGTGCAACGGTGCGATGCGAGACTACGTCCGTTTCGCGGTTTTTAGTCAAATGTGAGTTACAAATCACTCTTTCTATTAGGGCAATTCAAAATATCCTCCTCCTATATCTCCTTGTCGATCGTAAGCAAACCCAGTGGTCACTATACGCCATGAGTGATGACGTTGAGAGGATCTGATAGGGAGTCCTGAACATCTCGCATATTCACACTCGACCAGAAGCACTGCGCCAAATTGTTTCTCGTACGAAGGAGAAATGACACAAACATTGTTTTTCGTGCTTTGCGGTATTGGAGTATGGACGATACCGATGAACGATTCAGTGATGAACGCCCCAAATTCTCTGGACAAAGCTTCTCCAGCTGCGGCGGTTTGCTTGGGGTCGACAAGGCGTAGCTTCTCGGGTGTGCCAAAGTATTTCCAAGGGCCACGGATCTTTCCCCCGCTATGTATCTTTCGGAACTCAACAAGGCTTTTGATGAGTTCACTGGCTGATGTCGCGCTGGAACGCCTATATGCTGCATACGACCAGCGGGAGCTGAGATAATCCCGCAACGCATCGAGGCATTCCGTACTTTGTGTGATCGAGCCAAACACGCGCCTCATCATCGGCGAAAGTTCGGACTTTCTGTTGCCAGGAATCGGGAGAATCGTCTGTATTTTGTCTGGTCTATGGAACAATGTCATGGTCTCATACGCAGACAATGTGTCGTAGATCTCTCGCTCGATCCTTGGGAGTTTTACGAACACATAAGCCACTAACTCCGAACGGCTTACTCCCATAATGCGGCACAGCTTTGTAGTGAAGTCGCTAATTTGTCGACTTCTGTCGTTTTCTGTCATATGTTTGTTCCGACATTCTCTGTGACGTTCCTGCCTCCAAGCACTACTCGTCTCACTAGTATATAGCGCGCGAATCGTATTGGGATCCTCGCAGTCTCGAAAAGATGACTGTGAGAGATACATCTTTTCGAGTGAATCTGCACTTCTGTATTGGTTTCTCAGTACATCGAGGATCAGTTCGACGCGCGGTTTGGTATAGTCTGGTAGGATCGGAGCAGATGAATTCGCAGCGTCGCTTGCGATTCCTAGCAGAGCGTACACACCGTCATGAACAAGTGTGCATTGAGAGGTGGAAAAAGATCGTAATAGGGATTGCAATCTCATCGACTCTCGAAACGCTTCAGACGAGGCGTCGCCGACAGAACTACGCATTCGTTGATAGTTCACCCTGTAACGTAACAGATTCCTCCCAGGTGTATCCCATATAGCAGGGTCTCGTGGCTCGCTACGTGAGGAGAGTCCAGCCATGGTCCAAACAACCTGACGGAGGTCGTGGGCTAGAACACTGCATTTGCCCCACCATACATACAGATGCAAAGGCAGAAGAAATTCTTGTATGACCCATACTCGTGACCAGTACGGACGATTCAGAAGGTCTGTCATTGCTCGGCGTGTCGCATAATCACTGGATATAAGAATATGCCGTGGAGCGAATGTGGCTGAGTGAACCAGATCCGAGTTGCTACTCGTTTCGCCTAGCCACGCAATAGCAGATGTAGCTGTCGAGTATAGATCGCGCATCTGGCCGACTTGATGATTACGCTCATGGACGTCATTCTGATTGATGCCTTCCAGTCTCGGTCAGCCAATCGACATTCATCATCATCCGTCATGCCGCATCGAACACATACATAACATGTCAATCCATAGTCTACTTCCACGGCCTTCATCCCATGTTCGGAAACGATGGAGGAAGTCTCGAAGATTTTTTCCGATTCTAACAGTCGTGCCGCAGCATTCGATTTGGTCTTGTCCTCCATCTTGATCCCAGGTGTACGATAGGGCGATGAACGAAGGTTGCTCATCGAGATCAGCATGCGTGAGTTCGCAGCGAATTTGCTCTTCGGGGTCACCAGGTGCTACGGTGAGGAGGCGGATGGTCTTTCTACTTTGATCCAGTTGCGTGTAGCCCAAGGCTGCCATCTTCTCCCATGCTCTTTCGTGCAATAATGTTGTACTGTGGTAAGCTCAGATCGCTTATTCAATGATCGTATAGGAGAGGATACCGAGATGTTTGCTAAGTTGATGGTGCATTTGGAATATTTGAGAGGTGTGAGACCGAAGAGCGAGGCAACAACGATCCGGCTGAGACTCAGCCTGGGCTTCGATTGTAGAAGGCATCGCTGCACAGCCTCTCCTGCGTGAAGGCTGAGCTATCCGATCTTCTGACTGCTTGCTCAGCCGTATAGACACTAGCATTTGGCAAACCAGAGGGCATTATTGGGAGAATGAAGTAGATCTCGATCATTTGTGGCTCGCGATACGATTACAGGAAGTCGTGACGGTCGGTCGTCCTAGGACGGAAGCGCCCCGCATCATGCCCGCAAACCCCGCACAGCATTCTACGTATACACAAGTACATTCCGTGTAAATCACGACACGCCCCAGCATTGCTTTTTAAAAGTGTTCATGCGCCATCTTCTCGTGCATGACTGCTACAAGTACCTTTCGGTTCTCCCTCGAAAGCACGTAAATCTTGAACTTTCACGACACTATCGCCATGACGACTAGTCAAGAAATCAACAACGCGCGCTTCAGTAAGGAAGCACTAGAATGGGATTCGAATGAGAAACACGTAGAGTCAACTTCAAAAGCACTCGAGGCCATCAAGCGCTACGTACCTGCATTCAGAGATGGAAGCAACAAAGGTATTGGCGTGCCACCATCCCAATGCGCTCTTAAACTGACGAGCATCACAGATCTCGACGTACTAGAAATCGGTTGCGGAACTGGCCTACTTTCCTTCATGCTAGCTCCACATGTACGCAGCCTCATCGGCGTCGACACCGCAGATGGGATGATCAGCGCCTTCGACACCAAGCTTGCGGATCTTCCAACGGACCACCCGAATCTCTGTTCGGTGAACCACTTCTTAACAAACCCGGACTCGCATGAATTGCAAAGCGCAGCAGCGCTCCTTGCCACCCATCGCGGAGAGGCAGCGTCGCCGCCTTATTCGTACCGATTTGATCTTGTGGTTTCTCACTTGACGCTGCATCATATCCCTTCGATGGCGGAGATCCTAGCGACTATGCACAAGTGTTTGAAACCCGGAGGTGTTGTTGCGTTGACGGATTATGAGGACTTCGGACCGGAGGCTGTGCCGTTTCATCCGGTGAGTAAGAGGCCGGGTGTAGAGAGGCATGGAATCAAGAAAAGCGAGATGGAAGAGTTATTGTTAGGGACAGGATTTAATGAGGTGAGGGTCGATGAGGCTTTTGTCCTGCGAAAGGAGGTTGATGCTGAGGATGGGAAGCCGGCGAGAGAGATGGATTTCCCGTTCTTGCTGTGTTTCGGTGTGAAAAGTTGAAGTAGCCGCTGGTAGGTAGGCATTTACGATAGTGCTCGGCAGTGTCTGGCAGTCCAGATATGTCCGTATCATAGATCTTTCAGCAGGTCGTTCACTGCCTTTGCAGCGAAACGTTTCCGCTCGGCCTCTTCCATGCCCTCGCCCATCTCCTTGATCGCAACCATCTTTTGCATCATGACTTCCAGGTCTTCGACCTCTTTGTCTCCAGGTTCCTGACCTTCATCGTCGTCGAACCCGGCTAGCGCACCTTTCATACCAAACAGCTCCATGTTCATCTCCGCCTCTTCTGCCGCAAAGCTGCCTTCAAAACCGTTGTCATCCTCGCCCAAGTCTAGGCCGGCCATGCTTTCCCATTCCCCAGCCTCGAGCGCTTCCCTAACTCTGTGTATGCCCGTCGCCTCGCCAAACTCGTTCTTGCCCTTCTTCTCTGAGTCGACGTATTCGAAACCGTAGTCCATGGCCAGTTCTTCCCAGTCTTCATTGCTCTTCTCAAGGTAAGGTGTTATAGATTGTGGCATCGCGACAGCCAAACACACCATGTCACCACCGTATCCACAGGCACGCTCAATGACATCGGAAACGGCCTGCATGGTCTCTTTGATTACTTCTAAATCCTTTGCTTCAACTGGCTTCTTGAAGCAGTATATCCACGCACCGAGCGCAGTGACGACCTCGCGGGCTTCGGGCTTGGTGAATTCGGTGCGCCATTCCGCGACGTTGCTGAGCTCATCGACCCATATCGGAAGATTCGCGGTGTAGTATTTGGTCTCGAGACGCCATTCGTGGGTAAGGCCGGCCGTGGTTTCGGAGGTTTGCTCTGGGGCGGACCCTGTGAGTTCTAAGCCGAGTCAGTAGATGCGCGTAATGCAGAGGGTGTATCAAGTACCCTTCAGCAGTGGGAGTACACCTGCTCCCGGCGCACCGATAGCGAGGATGCGCCGTGGGTTCTTGATCTCCATGTCCATGTTGTGTTGGTTGAAAAAGTGTCGAGTTGCGGAGTTCTCGGGGGTCTCGCCTTTTGACGTGGGGTAGGCGCCTGCCGCAAGGACTATCAGACATTCGCGACTACGCCCGGTTGCGTTTTCACTTCAAATGCCGCCGGACATTCTTTCAGCACGCGCTACTATTGGTGATGTGAAAATGTGCATTCATCCCATTCAAAGGTATCATCAAATTTGTGGCTATCCCAATTTTCAGCGTATGTCCAGCAAGAACGATCTGGTTGCATACCTGTCCTTCCCTCCATTGTCTAGTCCTGGCACCAAATGGCGCGTCCTCGCTGCTGCTGCGCTTCCAGTAGCATGCTCTCTGCTTATGTTGTCTTTTCGCCCGTAACTTTCGGCTCGTTCAGCGACCACCGCCGCGAGTGCTGGCCCTGGCCCTGTTGACTGTGGCCCTTCCACGCGCAAGACCGACACCGCGACCCCTTGTGCCTCTTGATCGGAACATGGGTGCGTTCCTGTGACCTGTCAGTGCCTGTCTCCTTCCAATAAGGCATAAGTCTTACCTCAACATGTCTGGGACGATGAAATATCGCACATGGCTTCCTCGAATGTATACTTGTTCGAGATGTGAG